TCACTCCGGCAGCCTGCAGCTCAGCGTTTCCCCAGAGTTCGCCTGCAAGACAGCGCTCTGGGCAAACAATCGCAGAGCTCATGAGAGAGAAGTTTCTCAAAATGACGGTCTCCGGAGGGTGTGTGTAAAAGTGACACGAAAGTTGAAATAAATCATCATTAATGATCAAAGTGTCTGTTTTTTAGCCAGTCTGTAAGCTCGGATGAGCTCACAGCGGCCGCACACATAAGAGCCGGTGTCCTTAATAAGGGTTTTTAAACTCACCGCCGCTCCAAGACATTACTAGTCGCTTACAGGGCACGATGGTAAGTGAAAATAACTCGTTATAATCCCGGGCTGCACGATTTTCACCCAAGCGATGTCAACTCGCACCCGTGGGATGGAACAGCCCCACACACGAGCCGGTGTCCTTAAATAAAGGTTTTTAAACTCACCGTTGCTCTAAGACATGACGAGTCGATCACAGAACAGCCTCCACACATGAGCCGGTGTCCTTAATTAAAGGTTTTTAAACTTACCGTCGCTCTAGACATGACGAGTCGATCACGGCACAACGGTAAGCGAAAATAACTCGTTACCAACTAGAACTGCACGATCCTCACTCAAGCGGTGTCAACTCGCACTCGTGGGATGGAACAGCCTCCACATGAGTCGGTGTCCTTAAATAGGGTTTTAACTCACCGCCGCTCTAGACATGACGAGTCGATCACTAAAATGAACAGCCTCCATCCAACGGCGCTGCGTTGATGCTGGCGCACACACACAGCTGCCGGCGCTAACCAGCTCACATCGGTATAAATGTGGTCCGCAGGCTGGTTCGGGTGGAGGTCCTTCTCTCTCTCAAGAAATGACACCCGTCTCAACGAATCAAACGCGGGCAGCCGTCACCCACCGCGTCTCAGCTTTCGGCAGCTCACCGCAGCTTAAACGTGAAGCAGCTGAAGAACCCGGTAATGAGTCCCGCCTCCCTCCAGCGCGCGCCCCTCCAGCGAGAGCGGCGCGCGTCCCTCCAGAGAACAATGTGTGCTCCCGCGGGGCTAGCAGCCTTCACTCCAACAGCACGGCGTAAATGAAGTCACGCCCTCCGCCCTTTCAACGTTCGCACAGCGACGTCAAACGCGCAGCCCCACCGCGTCATCAGCTGTCACACGCTTCGCCTTCAGCTCAAGTCTCGCCCGGGATCACACAGAAAACATTCCCGCGACGCATGACGGCGGTTGAGGGGCGGACTGCTGACAGCCGTACAAAACATGACACATCACTTAACGCACGTTCACCCTACGAACATTACGTAGAGTGGCTAAAACATGCTCGCCGTTTTTCAGATGGATGGACAAGGTTTTATGCAAATGGTACAAGTTACAGTTTGCAACCCGAACCCCTCCATTCAGAGGAGTTATAAAAAAACGGTCCCGTCATCATCAGACTGATTCTCATCCCTAAATGCAGAAATCCAAGTGTTTTCTGATAAAAGTAATCTACAGAGTCCCCCAACGGAGAGAAAACACAAGGTTTTTACTCACGGATCGGAGGGGTGAGACCGTTTTTTGGATCTGTTGTATAACATCCAGAGAACGCATACCGATCATCCTAAAACACAGAGACGAGAGTTTTTGTTTTACCTGGATGATCTGCTGCTCCTGTCACTTCAGACAGGAGGCGCTGATGCAGGATCAGGTGTTGACATCACACCTGTTGAATCTGGGCTTCGCCATAAATTGGAAGGAAGCTCGATTTTCCCGGCCCAGACATTTGTTTTTCTGGGAGTGGAATTAAATTCAACCACCATGAAAGCTCGTTTATCACAAACTAGATTCGACACTTTTTTTAAAAAGTCAACTCAGCCACGTAAGACCTGGCAAGTGATAACAGCTGTCTCCGTCATGAAGCTGTTGGAAATGATGTCACTCACACAGTGTTTTCCGCTGGTTTGTTTCACATGAGACGCCTCCAGAGGTGGTTTTGCACGTCTGCATGTGGATCCAGTAAAACAAAACGACGGATGATCATTGTCCCTTCCTCTGTGAGAGCTGACCTCCGACTCTGGGGAAACACCTTGTTTTCTGTCAGAGGGAGTCCCCCTCAGCAGACCCACGTCACGGGTCAGTCTTCACGGACACGTTGCTGTCAGGCTGGGGGGGGACATGCCTATCTCAAGCAGTAGGGGCGCTGTGGCCCCACTACACATCAGCCCACATCAATGTTTTGGAGTGTCGCACAGCACTGAATATGATTCAACACTTTGCTCCCGTGCTACAGAATCAACACGTGTTGATTCACACAGACAACATGGTGACTGCTGCTTACATAACCATCAAGGGTGTGCGTTCAGCCCAGATGTTACACATTGCGCGAAAGCTACTGTGTTGGGCTCATCAAAACCTGCTCTCTATTAGAGCGGTTTTACATATCCGGTGTTCTGAACAGAGGGACAGATGTGACGTCCAGGGGCGGCCCACGTCATGTGGACCGGACCCTCCATCCAGATCTGATGTTTTCAGTCGTAGCAGAAGTTGGCAAAGCAGCTGTGGACCTGTTTGCGACGCGAGAAGAACGCTCAGTGTCAACTATGGTTTTCCCTGAGCCCGCGAGACGATCCATCGCTGGGGGGGGGACGCATTTGCTCACAGCCCGTGGCCCAAAACGCTTTTATACGCGTTTCTTTTCCCCCACCTCCTCTGTTTTTTACGGTTCCTGAACCGAGTTCAGGAGGAGGGATTGACAGCTCTCCTGGTGGCTCCCGGCGTGTGAACGCACCATGGTTCCCAGGCCTGTAACGTCTGTTGTCGGGTCGCCGTGGAACTGTCGTGGAGGGAGGATGCTCTCCTTCAGGCAGGAGGAGCGACCAAGAGTTACCCAGAAATAGGTCAACACCTGTGGGTCTGACCGCTGAGCGGTCCCACTTAGAGGATGGGTCTCCCTCAGGAGATAGTGTGCACAATTCAAGATTCACGTGCTACATCTACCACAGTTCTGTACACATCAAAGGGGACGGCTTTTCAGCGCTGGTGTACAGAGAAGGTTTAGAGGCCACCTCATGCCTTTTAGGCGGCGTGTTGTTTTTCTACAACAGCTGATGGATAGGGAGTTGGCTTTCAGTACGCTTTAACGTACGTTACAGTCATCTATTCCTGCCACGAAGGTTTCGGAGACAGAACAGCTTTTAATCACCCGCTGATGAAGCGTTTTTCTAAAAGGTGTTCAGAGACGCAGGCCTGCTTCACGTCCACTTGCTCCACAGTGGGATTTAACGCTGGTCCTGCGAGCCCTGATCAAAGCTCCAATTGAGCCTCTGGATCAGGTTTTCACTTAAATTCTTGTCTCTTTAAACAGCCCTGCTGCTGGTTTTAACACCCGCTAAGAGGGTAAGTAATTATCTGCCCTCTCTGTTGCTTCGTCATGCCTTAGAATTTAGGCTGACGGGCAGCTCAGCTGATTTAAGACCAACCCAGCTTTTATGCCTAAAACATCACGAGCTCTTTTAAATCAAGAGTGATATCGTTGGAGGGGTCTTTTCCCCCCCCACAGATCAGAAGAGGAAGCATCTTTTCATCTTCTCTGCCCGGTGCGGGCGTTGACGTGTTACGTAACGCGCACAGCTGCAATGCGTTTCAAACTCAACAATTGTTTGTGCATTATAGAGATGCTTCTGCAGGTCGCCGTTATCCATCCAGCGCTTGTCACACTGGCTGTGTGAGGCCTTTTTCTGAAGCCTACAGAGCATCAGATTTAGAGTCTCCTGTCAACCTCTAAGCACACTCGACCAGGGGTATCGCATCTTCGACTGCTCTGCATAATGGTATGTCAATGCAGGACATTTGCACTGCGGCTGCATGGTCAACACCCTGCTCATTTATTCGCTTTTACCTACGTGATGTAACGGCTCGTTCCATGACACATTCTGTCCTTAGTGCTCTAACAGAATGAATATTGTTGTTCTCATGGAACTCTGCTTAAGCTCACTTCTGTCTGCATGCATTACAGTGTGAGATGTTATCAGTCACAAGTCGTGTCTGTGATTTTGGTTCTATTGTCACTAATCAGTTCATGACTATTGTTACCAATCAGTTCATTTGATCAATAATCAATTCATGGACATTAATCTGTTTATACTGTTCAGCCATGAACCAGTTGGTTCATGCCCCCCCCCCCCCCCCCTCTTTTCAACTTCTTCTTCCCGTTGAAAGTTTTCCGGGGCATTCATGCTTTGTCAGAACGCATAGTTACTCAACATGCGTCTGTGCATGGCACATAATTACGCGATGCGTAGTTATGCACACGGGGAGCTGAGTGACAAGACGTTTTTTGGGCAAGCTTCCGCTTCTTACTGTGTTCGAATGGACCCAGTGAGGCGAGGACCACATCGGCTTCGCCCTTTACCCACTAAAGCGAAGGCATTAAAGGGCGAAGCTTATACGACATAGAACGTTGGTTACGTACTGTAACCCCAGAATCTATGAGTATAAGCGTAGCCCTTTAAGCGTCGGGCCTCACTGGCTCTTAAATGGCTGAAGAAAAAGCTATTTTGGGAGCCGATTTCCCGCTCTTAACGTAATTTATACGGACCGGGTGGGGCCCACACAGCAGGTGGGCGTGGACTAATTTTTTCAGTGCTTATGCTACGCATAACGGGATAAACCCACTAAAGCGAAGGCCTTAAAGGGCTACACTTATACTCATAGAATCTGGGGTTACAGTACGTAACCAACGTTTACATCCTATGACGTGTCAGTTTACATCCTGTGACGTGTCAGTTTACATCCTGTGACCTGTCAGTTTACGTCCTGTGACCTGTCAGTTTACATCCTGTGACCTGTCAGTTTACATCCTGTGACCTGTCAGTTTACATACTGTGACCTGTCAGTTTACATACTGTGACGTGTCAGTTTACATCCTGTGACGTGTCAGTTTACATCCTGTGACCTGTCAGTTTACATCCTGTGACCTGTCTCTTTACATCTTGCGACCTGTCAATGAATATTTGTGGTGTTTTTTCCCAGTTAGTGACAGAATTTCCGACGATGTGGACGGAGGCTCTCGGGAGTCACGCAGCATCAGAAGCGGGATCAGGCCTCTGTGTTTGAAGGAGGCTTCGCTGCTCTCCCTGATCACGACGACGGGCTACACCATAGTTCAGGATAATGGACAGAGGAAGTATGGCGGGCCCCCACCAGGTAAAACAGGACCAACTGTTTTATAGGAGGGTTCCCCATCTGTCAACCTACCCCCCCCCCCCAACCGCCCACCACGACAAGTGCCGGCACTGACGTAGCGCTAAGCTAGCGACATGCAATACTGACACACTATCTTAAAGCTACAGGGGTAGTGCTCTGTTTCCCTCACAATGAGCCCCCCATCTTACTGTTTGTGTGAGGGATGATAGATGAGAAAATTAAGGAATTAAACCCCCCCAAAAATCTTGAGGTTTCTTAATATAATGATTTTTACGTCCTGTTGACATCTAAAGATGTTTAACATTATTTTTTGTAAATTTTTGTTCCATAACTTGTTAAAAAAGTGATGAATGGAACTTGCAGGAGGAGTTCTAACTGAAGTCAGAAATATCAAACAAGAACTATTGTATAGCTTTTTATGAAACACTTTAAGGTACATGACTGATTTGACGGTACCCAGAGACCAGAGTCTGACCCAAACTGTTCTCAGAACGGGTCTACATCGAGACACGTGGAACACCTTCAAGTGAAGGCAACCAAGACTCTGTACGTCCTGCAGCCTGTTCCCATGACGACACACCACACACAGTGCAGCTTGACTTTCTGATCTGAAGAGCTGTCAACGCTCGCAGGTCACTGCTGCAGTTCACTCCAGCATTTTCTCATTCATGGGGCTGAGCCTCCAGCTTCAGTGTCAGCCTCGCTGTGGATGAGGAAACACCATCAGCTGTGTGATGCAGGTGGAGAACCTCGACCACATCCACCTCCGTTCTTCTCTGTTCAGCAGGTCTGAGGGCTGGTATGTGGTACGGTGAGAGTGGTGGGGGTCTGATGAGGTCATAGTCTGCTCCTCGACCTCACTACCAGGTCTTCATCTACTCCAAACCACGGTGGACTTCTCTGGCTCTGTCAGGAGTGACGGAGAGCCCACTGGATTCTCCGTCACTCCTGAAGACCTCACAGAAACCTACAATGACCGTCCCAGTTCTTTCATCATAACGAGGTCCTCTACCATACCATACCATACCACTTTATTTATAAAGCACTTAAAACAGCTACAAGGCCAACCAAAGTGCTGTACAGACAGAACAACAGGTAACACACAAAGCAAAATACAAAATGAGGTCAATCAGAATATAGACATAAAAACGATGCAGATAATGACAACAAACCAGTGTGGAGCATACAGGATCAAAACACAGATCATCTGGTGTTGAAAGATACTGAATAGTAGTGAGTTTTTAAATGGGACTTGAAAACAGAGAGAGAGGGGGCCTGTATGACAAACAGAGGTAACTCGTTCCAAAGTCTTGGTCCTGCTACAGAGAAGGCCCTGTCACCTCTGCGCTTAAGACGAGTTCCTGGAACTGTGAGGAGCATCTGGTCCGCTGACCTCAGGGAAGTGTCCTGTCTGACCTCATTTCTGTCTGTGGTGCAGGTTGGGAGGGCCCGGTGCCTCCGCGGGGCTGCGAAGTCTTCGTGGGGAAGATCCCCAGGGACATGTTTGAAGATGAACTGGTCCCTCTGTTCGAGACAGTTGGACAGATCTACGAGTTCCGGCTGATGATGGAGTTCAGTGGAGAAAACCGGGGCTACGCCTTTGTCATGTACACCAACAGGTGAGGACCACACTGAACGTTCTGCAGCGCAGAGTGGCTCACTGATGAGGAGGAGCAGCTGAGTTTAATGATGAAGATGAAAACCCTCTTGGTTCCAGACAAGCAGCTCAGAGAGCCATCATGCTGTTGGACAACTACGAGGTCCGTTCAGGGAAGTTCATCGGCGTCTGTGTGAGTCTGGACAACTGCCGCCTCTTCATCGGCTCCATCCCCAAAGACAAGAAGAGGGACGAGATCCTGGAGGAGATGAAGAAGGTTGGTATCCCCCTTAACAGGAAGTGACTCTGAGGGATAAGCACTTAACAAAGTAAAAGCTCCAGTAGGTGCTAAAATGAATGAATTAACATGATGTTCTGTGACCGACCCACAAGAACTTTTGTTGTTCTATAAAGACCAACAGCTGGAGGTCATTTTGTAGTGGACTGCTGATGAAGAATGGTTCTGATCCCATGAACCTGCAGGATGATCTTTAAAACAACGAGGAGGACCAACACACGGACCTTTAAACTCCCTGACTCCGTGCTTCTGTCAGATCAGTTTTTGTGTCTGAGGTTTAGAGACAGAAGGTCTGTAGCTGTTGGACCACAGAACCAGAAGCAGGACAACATTTCAGATCATTTTCAGTCTGTGTGTGAGCTGAATGACAGCTAAAATTAGCCAAAGAAGCTACGTCTGGGTCATTAAATCGAAAAGGAGCAATGTGCTAGCTGTAAGCAAAACAAATGTTAACTGCAGACTTAGTGTCAAAAGGCTAGCTAGATGCTAATGGCTAACTAAAAGTTGAACGCATTAAAGGCTAGCTAAAAGTATCATACATAAACGCTAACAGAACTCGGAGCCTCAGGTTTATTTGTGGGATGTTTCCTCTGACGTCTTCCTTCGGTCCAAACCCGTCGGTTGGCACCAGAACTCAAACACTTGTCTCTGGATCCGGTTCCAGTGTGTCTCTGTGTTTACACGTGTCAGGTGTCAGACGGCGTGATGGATGTGATCGTTTACCCAAGCTCCACAGACAAGACCAAGAACCGAGGCTTCGCCTTCATCGAGTACGATTCCCACAAGTCTGCCGCCATGGCCCGGAGGAAGCTCATGCCAGGTACCCGACCCGTTTCCACCTGCACCTCTGGTTCTGCTCACTGACTGGCCCAGTTCCAGGCTGCGTCCAGCAGAGGGAGGCAGCGCACTGAGGAAAGTCTGTAGGAGGTCTGGGTGATAAGCTGGTTCTTTTTCAGTTCTTATTAGTACCCAGTCAAACTGTTCTGGTTTTTATCAGGTTCTGAACTGGTTCTGATCTGACCTCAAATGAACAAAAACACCCAACAGAACATTTTTTTATTAAACAGAAACTAAAACTGGCTCCAGCCTTGCTGCTTCAGGACCTCAGCTGCTTTGGAGCATCCAGGTGGGTGTTAATACAACCACAAGGTGGAAAGACATCAGCAATGACCTTAGAGAAGCAGCTGTTGCTGCCCTTTAATCTGGGAAGGGTCAAAGGTCATCTGGAGTCTGATTCCTGACAACAATTATACAGCAGCTAACAATTTTCTCAAGATTGGCAGCAAATTCATCCTGAAGGTCAGACCATGCATTGCTCAGAGAAATGAGCTCCATCTCAGACTCTACAGGTCTCAGCAGGTTAAAGATTAAAGGTCAAAGGTCACTATAGGCAATGAGGAAACAGGTTTCTCTGGAAAAGTTCAGTTTTGGTCCTGGAACTGAAGGAGGGACTGTGTTTTGCTCATGGCTGTATATCAGCAGCACCGGGGACAGAAACCTATTAAAGAAACCTTGATATGTCCCTTTAATTTAATTTCCCTCTGGGATTAATAAAGTATGTTTGAATTGAATTGAAATGAATTGAAATCTGAATCATGTTGGATTTGATCTGTTTTTGTTTACACTGGAGGCAGACTAGAAACCAGAACCACTCCATGTCTTTAGAACAGCACTCACTGTGTGCACATGGATCTTCCTCCTAACTCTGGAGGATGTTTGTGTTCTCATGTTGTTGAGTCCTAAGCAGATTATGGTTCCGCCCATCAGGAACCTTCCAGCTGTGGGGCCACTCCATCCAGGTGGACTGGGCCGAGCCAGAGAAAGACGTGGACGAGGAGGTGATGCAGCGCGTCCGGGTGCTCTACGTACGTCTGGAATAAAACTCTGTAAATGTTTTTATCAGGAGTAACTTCTATTTTTCACTCAGGATTATTGATTAATGCCAAACCAGTTATTAGTTATGATTCTTTTGAATCACTGTCCCTCAGTCTTTCTCATCCAAAATGGAAATCAGAAAAGCCACTTTTACTAGTTGTTATCACTTCACCACTCGCTCCCCACGAGATCGGATGCTTCTCGCTCCCTCTCCGCTTTGCTGCTCTGTCCGTCTGTGAAACTGCTTCTGAGCCTCTCTTGCATCTTCTGAACCATAATTATGGACTTGTTTCGACCAGTTGGTCCCTCAACTCAATTTACAACATTTCTTCAAGAGAAGACAAGCTTTAGACGAGCTGATTTACCCTGTTGGCACGCACGCAGCTGGATATCTCATCGACTTGGAAAACTTGATTATGTGTCTATCTCTGCTGCCATCTGTGGATTTTAAGGACGCATATTTAATTGGATTTTCGATAACTGGTTCCTGCTTTTTGGATTCAGCTGGTCCTGGTTTTATCTACAATCAAGGAAGTCGTCAGCAGCAAATTTGGACCCGATCACGCTGCTTGCCTTTATGAAGGCTTGGTTCATGTCTGGAGTACCCGGACTCAAATGCTTTGGGCTGAATGGATCAGATCTTGGGGATTTTACTCAGTCACGTTCCATCAGTGTGGCCATGTTAATTTGGACATTTCTGAACCGAGTGGACCAACACAGACTCAAGGTAGATGTCATTAAGTTCTGCCTGTCCCCAAAACAACTGTGTGTTTATCTGAATTTTGGTCGCCTTGGCTGTCCTTGAAGGTCATCTTATCTGAATTCACCTGGAGAACATGTGATCTGACGCTCACCGCCCCCTCCCTGAGGAATTTCCAACTGATAACCAGACAAACCAGCTGAATAAACTTTGCGTCATCATTTCAGGACTCTTGGATTCTCAGGGGTTATTCTTGGTTATTCCTTGACATACCTCGAGAATGTTTATGGATCTCACCGGAGGACATGGACTGATTACAGTGACCTCGAGAGCATCTGTAAGCGTTGTTGACCGCTCTCGTCTCCGATTGCAGAATGTCTACGTAAATATGTGCTTGTTTGTGCGAGGTGTTTTTTCAACATTAGGGGTTTTTCTCAGCCAAGAAAAAAGTCTGATAGGAATTTTTCACCTCCAACTCCTCCATGTGTCCAGTTAACCACTGTTTGTGTCTGTCCAAACAGGTCTCACTTGTAAATGAGTCTTCGAGGCTCAATGTGATTTATCTGTTTAAATGAAGGTTGAATGAAAAAAAAAGTTATACATCGTCCACCAGGCGCTTACTTACACAGTTTTTTTCTGAATTCTCAGAATTATTAACTGACTTACTATTAACTACACAGTCACTGAGAGTAAATTTCATCTCAGCAGGTGCTTATCAGAAAATGCTGTAACCAAATTGAAACAATCTCTTCCATCAATGTTTCCTCTGTCTTGCAGAGTAATGCATCAGAGAACAGAGACTTAGATCATCTAGTTGATCATCTTACAACTTCAATGCAAACTTCACTTAGGGTGCATTCACACCAGCCCTATTTAGTCCACTTTAATGGAACTCTAGCTCGTTTTCCTAGAAAGTCTGGTTCGTTTGGGGAGGTGTGAACGCACCATCGAACTCTGTCACGGAACAAAAAGGCGAACTCCGGCCCGGGCTAAAACCTAGGTCTGGGTCCGGTAGAAGAGAACTCCAGCGTGGTTCGAGTGCAGTGTGAATGTAAACAGACCGGACCCGCTCCGCAGGACAAACACACATTTCTCTGACCTTATATGGAGCCGTCAGCTGCCTTGTGTGGAAAACAATATTCTCCGTGGTCTTCTGTCTCATCTTCTGCTCATGCTGAGTCCATTGATGAAAAATGACAAAATATAACTCCTAAAACTGATAAAACTTGATGCCACTTCGTTTTTATTTTTATTTACAGAAGAAGAAGAAGAAGTGTCTTCAGAGGTTTTTGTGTCGTTTCTTTCAGTAGTTCTTGGTGCAGCGCCCCCACAGGCGAGCGGGGGAACAGGTTGGTTCAACAGGTTGGTTCAACCGGTTGGTTCAACCGGTTGGTTCAACCGGTTGGTTCAACCGGTTGGTTCAACCGGTTGGTTCAACAGGTTGACTCGACTGCACAGTGCAGTGTGAATGCAAATGCACCAGCTCAAATGTAACAAAAGGTCATGAATATTGGTCCCGAACCGAGTCTACCGGACTATATGGTGTGAAAACGACCTTAATAAAATTACTCCACTGAAAAAGAAAGTAATCAATCAGAGGAAACTGGCTCCTTGGTTCAAATCTGAGTTACGTACTTTAAAGCAGCATCTAGAAACCAGGAGAGAAAATGGCGCTCTACTAATGTTGAAGAATTTTATTTAACTTGGAAAGATATTCTGCTAACATATAAAAAAGCTCTCCGTAAAGCTAGAACTTCATATTACTCATCTTTAATAGAGGAGAATAAAAATAACCCTAGGTTTCTGTTTAGTACTATTGCTAGAAGGGATGCACGATCCACTTTTTTTTTACTTCCGATCCGATCCCGATACCTAAATCTGAATATCGTCCGATACCGATCCAGTTCCGATATCATGATCATCATTGATTTGATATGAGGCTGTAATAATCTCCTCTCAAGTACAATTTGTACAAATATATGCATGCATGTCCAAAAAGGCAACTTGAGGTAAGTTTTATTAATGTTGGATAAGTTTTAAAGTTAGAATTAAATTCTAACACAAAACATGTTTTTTTTATTCCTAGCTTTAAAGTGGATATTAAAGTGATTAAGTGATTGTTAAGTTATTATATATATTTTTTAAACAAGGGGCAGATATAAGATTTTTTTTTCTTTCTGCACTCTTTTCATTCAATACTTTCTTTTTGATGATTTTTTAAAAAATTTCTTTATCTTAAATGAATGAATAAATGAATAAAATAAAATATTAAATGGCTTCAAACACCTGCTAAGTTCATGGCATAAACCAACAGACATGTTCCTGTTCCTGTTGATGACTTCATGAGATTCTTTATAAATAAAATTATTTGAATTAGAGAGAAAATTCAAACCATCCTTCCTTCTACTATCTCTAGTCCCCTGTCAAATGAGACAACTTTAAAAATGTCACTAGAGCCTGATTTATGTTTGGACAGTTTTTGTCCTGTTGAGCTCTGAATTGTCAAAAATAATAACCTCATCCAAACCATCCACATGCCTGCTAGATCCCATCCCAACCAGACTGTTTAAAGAGGTATTTCCCCTAATTAATGTCCACATTTTGGATCTACTTAATTTGTCTTTAATGGATGGTTATGTACCACAGAGCTTTAAGGTTGCTGTAATTAAACCTTTACTTAAGAAGTCTGATCTTGATTCAGAAATTCTGGCCAACTATAGATCTATATCTAATCTAACGTTCATCTAAAAAATTCTAGAGAAAATAGTTGCAGGTCAGTTGTGTGAACATCTACAAAGAAATAATCCGTTTGAAGAGTTTCAGTCAGGGTTTAGAGCTCATCATAGCACAGAAACAGCACTAGTAAAAGTCACTAATGATATTCTCATGGCCTCAGACAATAGACTTGTGTCTCTACTGGTCCTGTTAGACCTCAGTGCTGCATTTGATACAGTTGATCACAATCTAAACAAGTTAAATCTGGTCCTCTGGACAATAAAAAAAAAAAAAAGCAAAACGACAAAAAAATATAGAAACATTTCGTCTCTCATCCGAGAGACTTCTTCAGTCTGAGGTGCTGTATTCAGCTCAGTCTCTTAAATAGCACCTTCTCAGAGTGGATCAACCAGTTTGCTGCTGACAACCAGAACCAGCTGATCACATGGTCAAGAAGGACCATCAGCCTAACAATGGATCATTAGCACCTGATGGCTGTTTACTGTTCACAGAGGGTTGAGTGATACTAGCAATCACAGCATTGTAAGAGGGGGACAGTTGAACCTGGAGGCTCCACCCCTGTTTAATGATGGACGGTTTCTTTTCACAAAGATGGCCTCCTTTACTCCTCTCTCAAACCATCATTCCTCTCTGTCCAGGATGTGAACATCTTCATCCCTGAAAGAGTGACCTCTGACCTGGAGATGAGTGTAGACTGCAGAGTCCTGGCCTGATGATGTTGATCTTCTGTGCTGGTCCATCCTTTTGGCCAGTGGTTGTTTAGTTTCCCCGATGTAAGACTGATCACCCTCCTGACACTGAACAGCATACACAACATTGCTCTGTTTGTGCCAGGGGACTGGATCTTTGGGATGAACCAGTCTTTAATGTATTTTGGGGTTTAAAAGCCACTGGGACGTTATGTTTAGAAAATAAACGTCTCAGTTTCTCTGATACTCCCTCAACATCTGGAATGACCACTGGTCTGGGTCTGGGTTCCTCCTTTTCACCTGTTGGCTGACTGGAGTCCTGTTTGGGTTTCTTCTCTGCTTTCAGGAAGGCCCAGTTAGGATAGCAGCTGGTTTTGGTTGTCAGCATCAAACTGGTTGATCCACTCTGAGAAGGTGCTATTTAAGAGACTGAGCTGAAAACAGCACCTCAGACTGAGGAAGTCTCTCGGATGAGAGACAATACGTTTCTACATTTTTTTGTCTTTTTGCTTTGTTTTGATGTTTTTTGGGTATTTTTGAATGTCCAGAGGACCAGATTTAAATTTATTAGATTTTTCTACCTGGATCATTAAGCATGCATCAGGATAGTTGATCACAATATTTTACTACAGAGGCTTGAATATGATGTTGGGATTACAGGAACAGCTCTCAAATGGTTTAAATCTTATCTATGTAATAGATTCCAGTTTGTAAATGTAAATAATAAATTTTCTTCAGACATCAAAGTTAGTCATCGAGTTCCTCAGGGCTCAGTGCTTGGGCCAATACTCTTTACTTTATATATGCTTCCATTAGGTAAAGTTATTAAACAACATGGGATAAATGTTCATTGTTATGCTGATGACACACAATTATATTTGTCCATTAAACCCAATGAATCCAATCAGCTACTGAGACTACAAGCATGTCTTAAAGACATAAAAACCTGGATGAACCTTAATTTTCTCCTGTTGAACAGACAAGACTGAGGTTTTGGTTTTTGGACCTGAGCACCTTAGGAATGAATGTTTCAGTCTTTCTCCCTCCTTAGATGCATTAATCTGTCCTCCAGCTGTAATGTTAAAAATCTTGGTGTTATTTTTGATCAGGACATGTCTTTTATCCCCCACATTAAAAACGTTACTAGAACCTCCTTCTTCCACCTGCGTAATATCACTAACATTAGAAACATCTGATCTAAAGATGATGCAGAAAAACTGGTCCATGCATTTGTCACGTCTAGACTGGACTATTGCAATGGTTTATTATCTGGGTGTCCAAATACTTCTTTAAAACGTCTTCAGTTGATCCAAAATGCTGCTGCCAGAGTCTTAACTGGAGTTACTGGGAGAGATCATATCTCTCCAGTTTTAGCTTCTCTCCATTGGCTCCCCGTCAAATCCAGAATAGAATTCAAAATCTTACTTCTAACCTACAAAGCTCTCAACAACCTAGCTCCATCTTATATTACAGATCTTATTGTTCCATATTTTCCTAACAGAGCACTTCGCTCTCAGACTGCAGGTTTACTTGTGGTTCCTAGAATTTACAAAAACAGAACGGGAGGAAGATCTTTCAGTTCTCAGGCTCCTCTCTTGTGGAACCAACTTCCAATCTCTGTCCATGAGGCTGACACATTGTCCAGTTTTAAAACTAGGCTTAAGACTTTCCTTCTTGATAAATCCTATAGTTAGGGTCGGCTTGGGTTTCCTGAGCTGTCCCTTAGTTATGCTGCTATAGACTTAGACTGCTGGAGGACAAACTGACCCCAATTTTCACTCTGCTACTGTCTTTACTTACTCTGCTCAACCTGTTTTGTATTTGTAATTATTTTTTCTATCCTTAACATGTGTTTTTTTGTCTTTCAGGTACACCTGGACCTATACCTGGACCTACCATTCTGTGTTCGTCTGTCTCTCCTTCCTGTCCTCTCAACCAGCCGGTCAAAGCAGATGGCCGCTTGTCCTGAGCCTGGTTCTGCTGGAGGTTTCTTCTTTTTAAAAAGGAAGTTTTCCTTTCCACTGTTGCCACTGTGCTTGCTCAGGATGGGAGACTGCAACGAAACCAAGATTCAACTTGTCTGCTGGATTTTTTAGATAGAGAATTTTACTAAATGGCTTTTATGGTTGTGAATGTTCCTGTAAAGTGCCCTGAGACAACTTTGTTGTGATTTGGCGCTTTATAAATAAACTGAATTGAATTGAATTGAAACAAAATGGAGAATAGACAGAAACCTGAGTCGAGGAGTTCAATTAGAATCTGAACTCTCAAAAACTTGAGCCTCCAGATCACGAGTGATTACAGGACAACCTGAAAAAAAAAACCCTTTTGTGTGTGATGGGGGTTTAACTTCAACCCGGTGTGAGCGGAGGGTTTATCTTCAACTCTCTGTGAGAGGTTGGGTTTTAACTTCAACTCTGTGTGTGTGTTTTGGGGGCAGTTAACTTCAATTTCAGGGGTGAAGGTGGGTTTAACTTCTAACTTTCTTTTTGAGGGAAGGGCTTAACTTCAACTCTGCATGTGAGGAGGAGCTTTACTTAAGCTCTGTGTGCGAGAGAGGCTTTACTTCAACTCTGTCTGAAAGGAGGAGTTTAACTTCAACACTGTGTTAGAGGAGGGGATTTACTTCATTTTTGTGTGTTAGAGGTGTTTTACTTCAGCACTATGTGTGAGGGGTTTAACTTCAATTGTTTGTGTGTGTGTGTGTGTGTCTGTGGGGGTGCTAACTTCAATTTCATGTGTGAGAGGGTGGGTTTAACTTCAAACTTTCCTTGTGAGGGAGGGGCTTGACTTCATATCTGTGTGTGAGAGGAGGGGCTCACTTTAAACTCTGTGTACGAGGAGAGGCTTAACTTCAATTCTATGTGAGAGAGGAGAGGCTTCAATTTTCTGTGCATGAGATGGAAGGTTAAACTTCAACTCTATGAGGATGGGTTTAACCTCATATGCAAGTTGCTCTGAGATACTGAAGAATCACTACAACACCAAGGATCAAAGGTGAAAAGTCAGAATATTTCCTTAACTTTTTGTTAATGGAGCCTGGACCGGGTCTGAAATGGAACCTAAACTTCAGCGTCTAAGAGCTCAACGGTTTTATGTCAACTATGTGCAGAAGAAACTACCAGAACCATAGTTTTCCCCAGTCAGAGCAGCTCGGGCCGGGTTTTCTGATGGAGGGTGAGCCCGGCTGTGAGCCGTGTCCTCAACATGGTGAGAGACTGATCCACAGCTCCTGTCTTGACCCAGCAGGAGCCCCTCTCAATCCCAGAGCACTCACAGGAGGTCAGGATCACAGAGGTCCAGGTAGTCAGGGTCCAGGCCGTCAGGGACAGAGAGGTCCAGGCGGTCAGGATCACAGAGGTCCAGGCAGTCAGAATCCAGGCGGTCATGATCAGAGGCACAGGCGGTCAGGATCCAAGCGGTCATGATCACAGAGGTCCAGGTGGTCAGGATCCAGGCGGTCAGGATCACAGAGGTCCATGTGGTCAGGATCACAAAGGTCCAGGTGGTCAGGATACAAGCAGTCAGGATCACAGAGGTCCAGGTGGTCAGGATCTAGGCGGTCAGGATCACAGAGGTCCAGGTGGTCAGGATCCAGGCGGTCAGGATCATAGAGGTCCAGGCAGAGGGGGCGGGGAAGAGGGATCAGCCGTGGGAGCGTGCAGCCTGTTTGAGTGTTGTGTTTCTGCTGCTTCAGTCTATAACTTAACAACATAAACCCTGAAACATGTTTCTGTCCCAGATGCTGACAGAGACGTTTGTCTCTGTTTAACTACAAGGTTCTCTCTGTGAGAGTCAGCTTCAGGCATTTGAGGTTCATTTTAAAATATTCGTACATTTCAGTTCTGCACAATGTTTTAGCAATAACAAGGTGTGGTGTCTGTTTGGATGAGGGGGAGGTGACTATGCTTGGGTCTAAATGTAGATAAAATTTCAGTTCAAAGATTCTTATTCACTTCAATCCCTGGTTTCTGCAGCACTCTTGGTCCTGCCTCCTCGCTCACTCAAACCAAGAGGAGCAGTCCATGATCATCCCCCTCGTGGACTCAGCAGACTCGTGCTTTCAGGACATTGTTGTCATCAGTCAACCTGTGGTTCTGGTTCAGGAGTGTTTTGTTTTCCTGTTCCAGGTGCGTAATCTGATGTTGGACACCACGGAGAAGACGCTCCATTGTGAGTTCTCCCGCTTTAAGCCGGGCTCCGTGGAGCGCGTCAAGAAGCTCACCGACTATGCCTTCATCCACTACCGCTGCCGCAGTGATGCCCTCACCGCGCTCAGCCTCATGAACGGCGCCCAGATTGACGGGGCCATTGTGGAGGTGACGCTGGCCAAACCGGCTGGGATCAAAGATGGGAGCGTCGTCGGGAAACAACACAATGGCAGGAATTACCCAGGAAACATGGCCGCCACTGGAGCAGGAGGGGTGAACAGTTCGTTCCTGCTGCAGAGGAACGGTGCTGATGGACGCTCTCCGTTAAGAGACATGCCCCTGCCAGCTCCCCTGGGAAGCCCCTACAGCACCGGAGGAGGTGAGGGTGGTGTTTGTGTTTACATTTAAATGTTTGTTTATATAAGAATCCAACTAAAGTTGACCAATCGGACAAATATGTCCACTATCAGCCACAGGAGTCTATCTGGGTAGTTTTTTTGTTTTTTTTTGTTGTTTGGAAGGATTCCTTTCAGAGTTTTGACCTCAGAGGACTAAAATTCAACACGGTGCAACATCTGCCTCGTTTTGTTATTTGTTGGAGCGATGACGATGGAACGTTTTGGCCCATCATCCAACCTCCGATGCACTCCGGTGTCACCTCATGTTTTACTTTTAGCCCTGTCCCAGCATTACCCATGTCCACAGAACGAAGGACCGGGATCATCTCGGCAAACTGAGAATCCTCCACTGTTTTATAACCGAGTCAGACCGTGACACTTGCTTCGTCTGACGTCATGGAGCCAGAAGGGGAATTGAAATACCTTCAAACTGTTTGTCTCGTTAGGATGATAACTTGAAAAATAAGTAAGGGACTGTTCTATATTTGGTGTGTGGATACATCTAGCTGTAAGAAAGGTCACCGTCAACAATTGGATTGCCATGTTAAAATCCAAGATGGCCGCCATCAAATATATGTTAACTGACCACTCTATCACTTGATGAAACCACACTTTCTTGTTTTTATTTTGCTTAAATGTTTTTTTGGTTTTTATTTTTCTAAAAGTATAGATTCATCAAATGACTGGGGCGGCCAAAGATTAATCTATGGGGGCCAAGGCCACCATTGGCCACCCTCTGTCTCCTCCGTTACTCCTTATGGTGATAAAATGTCTCCCTCCACTCATCGAGATCCATTACTTGGCAGCAAAAAAACAACAACATTGTAACGGGCTAAAATTAGCTGATTGCTAGCTAAAGCTTAAATATTTCAAAATATTAGCTAAAAGTGTCAAAAACTAGGTAAAAGCTAAATTTCACTAAATGCTTGTCAATGATAACAACAATATCAGAAGTCTAGCTAGAACTATCTGAACTATCTGTTTGTCCTGAAGGAAAACAGCTGAACTTTTACCAGACACATTCAGACCAGTCTCAAAAGAGTTCAAACAGCAGGAACCAATGAGAGTTCAGCTAATGTAGGCTTTTAACAAGCTTTTTGATGATTTTAGCTTTTAGCTAGCCTTTTGAACATTTTAGCCAGCCTTTTGATGCTTTTAGCTTTTATCTAGCCTTTGGATATGTTTAGCTAACCTTTTGATGCTTTTAGTTAGCATTTTGATAATGTTAGCTAATCTTTCGATTGATACTTTTAGCTTTTAGCCAGCCTTTTGATGCTTTTAGTCAGAGTTCTGAGCGTTAGTTTCTTTATTTGTCATTTGCATCACATCTTGGGGAGGCGGGGGACATTGAGTCCGAGTGGGCCATCTTCTGCGCCTCTATTGTCGAGGCGGCTTATCAGAGCTGTGGCCGCAAGGTTGTCGTGCCTGTCGTGGTGGTAACCCTCGAACATGGTGGTGGACACCGGCAGTGAGGGATGCTGTCAGGCTGAAGAAGGAGTCCTATTAAGCCTTTTTGGCCTGTGGGACCCCGGAAGCAGTAGATGGGTACCGGCAGTCCAAGGGGCATGCGGCTCGGGTGGTCACTGAGGCAAAAACTCGGGTGTGGGAGGAGTTCGGAGAGGCCATGGAGAATGACTTCCACCAACACTATTTATAGTGGAGGGGGTTTGCTGCTGACCTCAACTCGGGATGTCGTGGGTTGGTGGGCAGAGTACTTCGAAGACCTCCTCAATCCCACTGGCACGTCTTCCACTGAGGAACCAGAGCCTGGGGACTTTGGGTCAGGCTCTCAAATCTCTGGTGCTGAGGTCACCGAGGTGGTTAAAAAGCTCCTCGTCTATGCAGGAGAGCTGAGCGCAAGTGGAAAAAGGACAAATTACAGGTTTCTTTTATTATGTTAAAAACATGTTTGAAAGATTATCAGAGCATCGTTAAATCTGAAAAGAACAAATACTTCTCCCATATCATTGCTTCAAACAGTCATAATCCCCGTGTTCTTTTTCATACCGTAAATTCCATTTTAAACGTGCCTCGGTCTGCCAGCATGGAGGCCTCTGTTGACATCTGCAACAACTTTACCAGATACTTTGCTGATAAGGTAGAGTTGATTAGGTCATCCATCCCCCAGTCCACAACTGACCCCTCTGTCTTTGTCCCTTGCTCAGCTGTCTTCAAACAGTTTGAACCCATTTCACTCCCATTTCTGAACAAAGTCGTTGGTCAGATGAAACCCTCCGGTTCCCCTGCTGACCCCATTCCTGCATCGTTTTTCAAACAAGTTCTACCCACGATTGGACCCTCTGTTCTTACTACTGTAAATAGTAGTATTGTGACAAGTGTGGTTCCCGATGTTTTCAAACATGCAGTAGTTCATCCGTTAATTAAGAAACCTGGACTTGACCCTTCGACTTGCTCAAATTTCATACCAATCTCAAAACTTCCCTTCCTGTCCAAAATCTTGGAGAAAATAGTTTTCATTCAATTAAACAAGTTTTTGAATGAGAACAGAATCTTTGAGATTTTTCAATCTGGTTTTAAGCAACTCCACAGCACTGAAACAGCATTAGTGAGGGTTTGTAACGACATTATGATATCAAACGATTCTGGTCAATTTGAGGTACTTGTGCTCCTGGACCTTACTGCTGCTTTTGATCCTGTTGATCACAGTATCCTTATATCACGGCTGGAACAGTGGGTTGGGATCACAGGTGCTGCATTAGAATGGTTCCGCCCATACCTGAGTGGCAGGAGTTTCTGTGCCAAGGTTGATAATAATGTATCCGCCTCATTACCTCTTTCTTGCGGGGTCCCACAGGGTTCGATTCTTGGACCCCTTCTGTTCTCACTTTATTTGCTCCCACTGGAGTCCATCCTGAGGAAACATGGTCTTTCATTCCATTGCTATGCTGATGACTGCCAGATCTACCTGCCTGTGAAACCAGCAAGTGTTTGCTCCATTCACCCTCTGTTAAAATGTCTGGATGACATTAGGGCCTGGATGGCTTCAAATTTCTTAAGTTTTAACAATGAGAAGACTGAAGTCATTGTCTTTAGCCCTAGCTCAACTGCCACCACTGATCCTGTCAACCTGGACTCTCTTCAGCCATATCTGAAGCAGTCTGGTAAAAATCTTGGGATGGTTTTAGACTCTGACTTCAAGTTTGACAAACAAATCAACTCTGTTCTACAGAAAAGCTTCTTCCAACTCAGACAGGTAGCTAAGCTCAAGCCAGTGTTGTC